GGCTCAGTTGTTTTGTTTTGGTTTTTGGTTTTTTCGAGACAGGGTTTCTCTGTGTGGCTTTGGAGCCTATCCTGGCACTCGCTCTGGAGACCAAGATGGCCTTGAACTCAGAGATCCGCCTGCCTCTGCCTCCTGAGTGCTGCGATTAAAGGCGTGCGCCACCAACGCCCGGCAGATGGCTCAGATGTTATGCACACTTGTTGATCTTACAGAGGACCCAGATTTGGTCCAAGTACTCACATGTATACATAATTCCAGTGTTAGGGGATTCAACACCCTCTTCTGATATCCATGCATATTTTATGCATGTATCGTATATAATACTCATATATACAAAGTACATACATCTGATGAAAAATCAATTTTAGAGCTGGAGAGATGGATCAGTGGTTAAGAGAATGTAACTCTTTCCAGAGGATCAGGGTTTAATTCCCAGCACCTGTACCAGGCAGTTTAGCATTCCCTTTCTAGCCCAAGGGCAACTGACATCACAGGGCACATACAACATATACGTGACGTACACTAACATAGTCATGCAGGCCTGTGAAGGCACACATTTAACATACATGTCACACACTACTTTAATCACACACAGAGAATTTTTTTTTTTCAAGACAGGGTTTCTCTGTAGTTTTTGTTAACTGTCCTGGAACACTCTTTGAAGACCAGGCTGGCCTCGAACTCACAGAGATCCACCTGCCTCTGCCTCCCGAGTGCTAGGACTAAAGGTGTGTGCACCACCACCGCCTGGCACACAAATTTTTAAAAATAAAAGCCCAGTTTTGTGCCAAATCACCACACCAGCCATTTTTCTTATTCTTCCTTCTGATGTGCCCCTTTCTGCAGAATTGTTTATTTAAAACCATTTTTTAACTAGTCTCTTGAATTTGTCTTAGTTCCAACCTGGTGAACCTGATGAGTATATTGAGCCTACTTACAGAACATGAGTGAGGAGTTGCTTACTAAAGGATCAGACATGGGTGACCCCAAAGCCTCACCCAACCTGAGGTCATCCTATCCCGTTTGGAGATGATATCTACCCAGATCCAGAGGATAAACGTAATGACAGAATCACATACAATAGTAGGTAGGAGTCCATTGGAACCTCAGATGAGGCTGTAAGGACATCAGTAGGAGACTTACTGGGGACTACCAGTAGGCTTGGTAAGATGATCTCTTGTAAGGCACACGTGATTTTATGAGTACAGGCAACAAAAAACATTTGTTGGTTTGAGTCTGGTAAGGATCCTTCTTGCCTTTCATGCCAATTAGCTAATAACATCAGATTGTTAAATTTAGTTCTCACTCATGGGATCTGACTGGGGAGCAAAAGCTCTGAGTGAACTTGCATTGTTGACATGAACATAGCTGTGTCAAGGACTCTGGTGCCTCAGACCTCCCCTGGTTTGGGTGTGGGAATGTTGAGTGTGTATAGCTTATCGTCCAGAATGACTGTGCCCTGATATTGGACCCTCATCTCCACTGCTGTTCAAGTTGCTTCGGGCACCTGTCAGACCAATCCCTAAATAGTGCAGGTGAGGGTGAGACCTAGTCAGCACTTAGGTCATAGGAAAACAGCCATTTTGATCAGTGCTTGCTAGTCTGCGTCGAGTCTTGGCAAACCCTTTTTGTTTTTTGTTTTTTTTTTTTTTGGTCTTTTGAGTCAGGGTTTCCCTGTGGCTTTGGAGGCTGTCCTGGAACTAGCTCTTATAGCCCAGGGTGGTCTCGACCTCACAGAGACCCCCCTGCCTCTGCCTCCCGAGTGCTGGGATTAAAGGCGTGTGCCACCATCGCCTGGCCATCAGCCCCAATCTTAACACCACAATAATTTGCTACATGGACTTTTATCTATGCCAATTTCAGGCTTTATTTATTTAGTTTTCTTTTTTTTTTATTTTTTAAGATTTTATTATGTATAGTCTTCTGCCTGCATGCCAGCAGAGGGCACCAGATCTCTCCAAGGTGGTTGTGAGTCAGTGTGGTTCCTGGGAATTGAACTCAGGACCTCTGGAAGAACAGTCAGTGCTCTTAACTGCGGAGCCATCTCTCCAGCCCTATTTAGTTTTTTTTTTTTTTTTTGTCACAGGGTTTTTCTGTAGCTTTGGAGGCTGTCCTGGAACTAGCTCTTGTAGACCAGGCTGGTCTCAAACTCACAGAGATCAGCCTGCCTCTGCCTCCCGTGTGCTGGGACTAAAGGCGAGCACCAACACCTGGCCAATTTCAGACTTTAAATGTCAAGTTTTCAGAAGTGTCTTAGGCTGAAGAGCAGTGAAGGGCATGATGAACTAAGTGCTTCGGTGGAGGGTCAGTTCCCATCACCTCTGCCTGGCAGCTTACAATGGCCTGTTAACTCCAGCTTCAGGAGACCTAATGCCTCTGGCCATCACAGGTACCTGTTTTTATACCCACACACATGCAAACACATAAAGAAAAATAATAAAAATGAACCTTGAAAATGTGTTTTGGGTCCTCCTATGTATTCACAGTAACACCAAACATGCCACAGGAAGAGGAATTGACTATTACTGATAACAGGAAATTAGCAGAAATAATGGGTTTAGACCTAGGAAGATGGCTAATTGGGTAAAAGTGCTTACACTGGAGATAGCAGGAGGCTTTTGAAATTTCAAGCCCAGCCCCAGTGACATACATACCTTCTCCAACAAGGCTACAACTAATCCTTTCCTAACAGCTCCACCAGCTGGAACTGTTCAATTATTCAGACTGTTGGGGGATGTCATTCAGACCATCTCACCAGCTGTCAGATGATAGAGTCCCAGACACTAGGCTATGCAGCTGGCTCAGTGGGTCAATGCTTGCTGCCCGTTTGATTTCCAGGATATGTACGCTAAGATAAGACAACAGCTCCTACAAGTTGTCCTCTGATCTTCAAATGGGTGGTGTGGCAACCATATGCTACAGGCACAATAAATAACTAAAAAAATCTTCAGGATGTTGATTTATGGGCTAGTGTGCATGCCTTTAATCCCAGCACTCGGGAGGCAGAGACAGAAGCAGGTGGATCTCTGTTGAGTTCAAGGCCAGGGCTACACAAAGAAACCCTGTCTGGAGAAAAACTAAACAAAACAATGTTGACTTATTAACGTCAGGATTGTGGGATGGCCTTATTAAAGTCTTGATAAATTAGGGTATTTGGGAAGAATCTGCATTAAAAACAAAGTGGCTCATGCCTGCAATCTTAGCACTTGAGAGGTAGAGGAAGGAGGATTAGGATTCAAGGTTAGCCTAGGATACTTGAGACCTTATTTCAAAAACCCAAACAGCCTTTCACTTGGTGAGTATTTATGGGAGGCTGAGTGGGGTGCCTGGAGTTGCTCTGGCAGCATTCCTCAATGTCTGGTGATCTCAAAGGCCCTGAATGGGTGGCCAGTCAGGCTGGCTAGGCGGAACTGGCCCTCTCCTACAGTGTGGCACCTGTACCTTCAGGGCAGAGCTGTTGTTGGTACCATGACCAGGATCTATGGAGGACAGCAGAGAAACAGCAACAGGCGCAGCCACCTCTGTAAAGGCCCAATAGTGTGGCCTGCCTGACTCTCCATGCCCTGTAGGCGCTGAAAAGTGGGAAAGGAGAGCTAGCAACTCAGGTCATGAAGTCATGGACAGCAATGCTGGATAGGTGGCATCTGCCACAAGCAGCATCAGAACAGAGGGAACAGGCTTCATAAATCACCATCTGCATTAAAAAGCAAAACAAAGGCTGGGCAGTGGTGGCATACTCCTTTAACCACAGTGCTTGGAAGGCAGAGACAGGCAGAGCCTCATCTACAGAGCGAGTTCCAGGGCAGCCAGGACTGTGAAACAGAGAAACCCTGTCTCGAAAAATGATTCAAGCCAGTGGCCTGCCAATCAGGGCTCAAGGTGGAAGCAGAAGCAGCAGAGATTTTGTAATGTGAGGTGGCGGCTCAGTGGAAGAGTGCTGGCCTAGCAGGTGCAGGTTCCTATCAGAACTATGGGCACATGCACACACAAGGAAATAGTCCATGTCCAGTTGTGAGAGCTAGTGTCTATGTGATGTTAGTGGATCAGTCCCGTTAAATTGACCCTGAGAAGCCGGCATTGGACCACAGGACTGCATCATGGTGGGGGTACAGGTTCCCACAGAAAATCCTTCAAATAAAGCATCAAACCATCCAAGATAGGAGAGCTTTCTAGCAGTGAGTAGCTGCCTGCTGTGTGTGAGGTACTCACATGTTCCCTGGGGGCTTAGCATTATTGTCACTACACTACATTAGGTGAAACAAGAGAAGCAAACAGCTAATAAGTGGGAAATCAGGAAATCATATACAGGATTCTCAATGGGCATGGTACAGGTACCTATAATCCTAGCACTCAAGTGGAGGCAGGAGGATCCTGTGTTCAAGATAGAAAGTTCTGGTCAATCCTTGCTACATGAGACTTGGTTTCAAAAAAGAAAACAAACCAGTCTTCTGGGGGTAGTGAGGTGGCAAAGTGGGTAATGGCATTTGCCATGTGACATGCAAGCCCGACAATGCTCCCAAACTCACATAAACACAGGAGAGGACTAACAGCTGTCCTCTGGCCTCCGTACATGTGCTCTGGCATGTGAACATGCAATAATAAAAAAGCAAACTCTTATTTCTTTAGTTCTTTGAAGGTGTGTACACAGATATAATTCTATCTATATGAATGGTAATTCATTATGTAGCATGTATACTGTAGCAAGCAATCAATTCTCTCAGGAGTATATGGGAAGGGGTTGGCCACACCAACCTGCCAGAACTCAGCTGGGGCTTCGGTGACATTCTGCAGAAGGAAGAAGGTGCCAACAGGGAAGCAAGAAGTTACCAGAACAGAGTGGAATTGGGCTGGGAATCTTGGTCTCCTGAACTGACTTGTGTTCATAAGACACAACAATTAATACTTTCTGTAGAATTGAGTTTCTGCAGGTCAACAGAATTCCAGAAAAATTCAATTTTGCCAGCATGAATGCTTTCCTTATTACAAATCTAACACAACACTCAGAAATAGATCTATCTTTAATGTGAACACCACCACCACCACAAGAAACTGGTATTAGCTGTAGGAACAAAGGACATCCTATTGCCGTATGTCCCGTCACTGCAGATCAGGCTGTTCCCCCTAGGGACTTCCTCATGTGAAGTAGCTGGAAGGAGATTAATCTTCCAGGTGTGCTGCGCTGTGCTGCGCTGTGCTGGTGCTTACAGGGAGGCACAGAGCCGCTCCAGCTGTCCCGGGTTGCAATTACTCAGGAACTTCAGCTCCTTCCTCCCTTCTTCTGTTGCAGCTGAAATGGAGCCAAACACATGCAAATGGCAGCCTCTTCCTGCTCCAAATTGGTCAAGGCATCTCTGTTCAGGTCCTACTGCACTCTACAACCTGAGCTCCTGCACCTCCAGCTCCTGCTAACCACACTGCTGCTGGTCTCATTTCCCTCTAGTCTCACATTCTAATTACTATTAGCTTACACGTTGTTTCTGGTGGGGCAAGAGACGAAATTCAGAGCTTGGAACATGCTAGGCAGGGACTCTACAGCCAACCCCATGTGAACTGGGACCACAGCAGTCATTACTGGCAGTCATTACTCAACGACAGAGCACTTTACTTTGTCTACATGATGTGAAGCAGATACACAAAGAGTTAAGAGCTTCTGAAGCCAGGGCGTTGGTGGTGCACACCTTTAATCCCAGCACTCTGGAGGTGGAGGCAGGTGGATCTCAGTGACTTCAAGGCCAGCCTGGTCTCCAGAGTGAGTTCCAGGACAGCCAGGGCTGTTACACAGAGAAACCCTGTCTCAAAAAACAAAACAAAAACTGAAAAGATTTAAGAGCTTCTTAAGCAAGGGTGTGTGGCACATGTGCTGAGATTTTAGGTCAGGAGGCTTAGACAGGAGACCCTGAGTGTGAACTAAGCATAGGTACACAGTGAGACACTGCTTTAAAAAAAAAAAAGCAAAGTTGTTCTGGCTGAGATGAGAATTTCATATACCTTCTCTAGGCCTCTCCTGTTTCTCTGCCTCTGTTTACTGTCTGCACTGACACAAATACCCTCTGCTCCTGCAAGTACAAGATCATGGACCCAAGTGGCCACTGCTGACCCTTCTGAAGCTGTGAGCCCAAATAAACTAAGCTGCTCGGTCACGGCTGACTCAGCTCTTCATGCTATGAGCAGTGTGGCAGGGCAGGGTGATCACATTACTGACCTTTCTCATGCTGAAGCCAGTTATTCTCTAAATAGTACTGAAAAGAACTTTCAAATTCCTTTGGAGTATAGTTGGAAATGAGGATGGGAAGAAAAGGATCTAGGGCATCAAATCCTTCCTGGAGACGAAAAGGATAAAAGATACAGTGTTAGTCAAGCAACAAGTGAACAGAGACTGTACTACGAGGACAGGGTCTTTTCCTCTGTTCTACTCTACCCCACTCTCGGCTTCCTGCCTCATGAAGATGTACCATGGCATGTGAACACCTCCAAATAAATATTAAATAAGAAAAAGACAGTCTCTAAACCAGCGGGTCTCATCCTTCCTAATGCTGCAACCCTTCAATACAGTTCTTCATGTCGTAGTGATCCTCAACCATAAAATCATCTTGTTGCTACTTTATAACTAATTTTGCTGCTGGTATGAATTGTAATGTAAATATTTGATATGAGCCCCCAAAGGGATCATGACCCACAGGTTAAGAACCCCTGCTCTAGACAGAATGATTACTCTTGGGGAAACAGGTTTCTCCAGGACATGACCTTTCCCAGAAGCTCGTGCGGCAAATATGCTGTTGACGACTTAAAGAGAGACCCGGTTTGGCTCAAACTCAACACAATTGCACCTCCATGCTGAAACGAAGAAAGAATTGAGTTTTAAAAAGATAGAAATGACAGACATGCTATACAGTCAGCTGTAGATTTTTTTCATAATAGTGTCATGACAATGTGGTTTAGCATAATTAATTGGTAACAAATCTGTTACTGCTTTTTTAAAAAAAATATTTCTAAATATATACAGTGTTTTGTCTGTCTGTCTGTCTGTCTGCATCCCTGCAGGCAAGAAGAGGGCACCAGATCTCATTACATACAGATGGTTGTGAGCCACCATGTGGTTCCTGGGAATTGAACTCAGGACCTCTGGACCATCTCTCCAGCTCCAGTTATTGCTTCTAGATTTGGTTCTGATAATAAATTACTACAAGATCTTAAGTTTATCACAATATACTTTTGGTTGTCAATTTCTTCTGCCACGTCTACAATCCTAGTACTTAAGCAAGTGCATGAAGCAGAAGAACTGAGAGCGGAGACAGAGAGTTTTAATGCAGCCTGAGATACAAAATGAACTCGTATCTAGCTGCCTCACCAGGCTTGATGGTTCATGTCTTACTCACAACACTCAGGAGGTGGAGCTCTGTGAGTTCCAGGCCAGCCAGAACTACACTGTGAGACCCTGCCTCAAGTCAAAATTATAATCTTAAACAAACAAATAAACAACAAAATGGCAAGGCAGACAGGCAGAGACAGGCAGACAGACAGACACTAGTGAGAAGGTTCAGCCAATAAAGGGACTTAATACAGGGCTACTCTGTACAACTACAAATAGTAAGTCAGATAAAAGAACAGTAAAGATGCAAACATATTTTTCCTCTACAAATTTTGAGCACTGAGGGCACTTACCCAATTATTTTTCACCATTTTTCTAAGGCTGTGAACAAGGGCTAGTTCCTCTGGGGCAATCTACATGTTGTCAACAAGAGAGTGAAGAGATTAGGATTTTACTTTTCTGGCTGTTTCCCTGAGAAAACCGAACTGACAATTAGATAAAAGGAAAAGTTTTTAAGCATTGTAATCATAGTACCTGAGCATACTTCCTCTGGAATAAGAGGTGAGGAGGAAGGAGAGGAAGAGGCAGGCAGGAGGAGAGAGTATCACTGTCCCAAGTGCACCTTCCTCCTTTGAGAGCTCTGATCTCTACACAGACCACAGCCTCTCTTTGAAAACAGCAGTTAGAACCAGGGGAGAAAGCAAAGCTCCTGGAGCTCCCACTGTCCTGCTCTTTGATCCCTTGGTTGGCAGTGTATGATGGAGCATGTGACATCATGTGCTGGGTAGTTTTCTGTCAACTTCACACAAGCCAGAGGTATCTGGGAAACACTGCAATCAGACTGGCCCATAGACAAGCCTGTAGGGCATTTTCTTGATTAGTGATTGATGGTGGAGCGGGGGGAGCAGCCCGCTGCGGATGGTGCCACGTGGACAGGTGGTGCTGGGCTGTCTAAGAAAATCAACTACAAGCAAGGAGGAGCAAACCAGTAAGCATCAGTCCTCCATGTCCTCTCTTCAGTTCCTGTGTCTAGTTCCTGCCCTACCTCTTCTTCAGTGGGCAACTGACACGGCTCCATCCCTTTCCTCCACAAGTTGCTTTGGGTCCTGGTGTTTTATCACAGCAATAGAAAGCCAACTAATTCATAACTTTTTCCTTTTCAAAGCTAATTCATTGTATATTCGCCCCCCCTTTTTTACAGTACAGGAGATGGAGCCTGTAGCCTTCTACATACTAGGCATTCACGTGCCCAACACAGAGCTACACTGCTGCCTTGATACTATTCACAATATTTTTGTTGATGTTCTTAAAGATAGATGTATGTATGTATGTATGTATGTATGTTATGAGTGTTCTTCCCGAATGTATGTATGTTCACTGCATGAGTGCTCGGTGCCCCTGCTGGATTCCCTGGAACTAGAGTTACAGATGGTTGTGGGCTGCTGTCTGAGTGCTGGCAATCAAAGCTGTGCCCTCAGCAGGAGCAGTCAGCTATTGTTCCAGCTCCGTACTTTATCTAAAACATTCCATGTGGGCCCCCCAGGAGGGTATCATGTTCTGTATGGGATAGAACCAGAGAAAAGCAATGTTCCTACCAGGGTCCTGTCTTCTCTTTTCAGCGTGCTCCTTCCCCAGAGGGCATTGATCCCATCCACTGCTACCAGGAGGCGGAAGAGCCCTGAGGAACTCTGGGTCCTCAGCTCCTTCAGCACGATCCCGACAGCGTCTGTGGCATTCCTCACTCGTGTGATACCCTGTTCAACAACCTCTCCCAGAGGGCTTCCCTTCTCAGTGCTCTCTCTCTTATTCCAAACGTATTTCTCTTCAACTTTTATCTACAAATAAGCAAAGAAAGAAAACAATGCAACAGGCTGTCTGTTTAGGCTGAAGCCTTTCCAAGTCAGGGTGGAAGCCCACAGGAGAGATCCGAATAAGGAGGTGCGATGCAGAAATGAAAGACCTCTAACCTTCCTTCCTAAGAGTGGGTGTTGAGACTGGGTCTCATACTTTAGGCCAGGCCATTAGCCTGGCCTCCAATTTAAGAAAATTATCCTGTTTCAGATTTCTAAGTGCTGGGATTAAAGATTCGAACTTCCGAGCCTGGCTCTTCTGACTAAAAAGGTAACACTGGCATCGCCTGACCCATTCTATAGTACTCATTTCAAATCCCAAGACCCAAGCATGCTGCTAGGTAGGTGCTCTCCACGGAGCTCCACCAAGCCTTGGCAGTCACATTTTTTCCTTCCTTCCTTCCTTCCTTCCTTCCTTCCTTCCTTCCTTCCTTCCTTCCTTCCTTTTTAAAGACAGGGTTTCTGTGTTGCCCTGGCTGTCCTGGAACTTGCTCTGTAGACCAAGCTGGCCTAGAAGTCACAGAGATCCACTTGCCTCTGCCTCTCAAGTGCTAGGATTGAAGGTGTGTGCCATCACTAGCAGGCTGGCACTCACATTTTCAAAAATACCTTTATTTATTTGTGTATGTGTACATGCATGTATAGATATGAGGGTGCAACGTGAGCCAACTTGCTGGTTGGTCACAAAACAACTTGCAGGAGTTAGTTTTCTCTTCCCATCATGTGGGTCCCTGGTTTATAACTAAGCTGACACCCATTGTTAATACACTTCCGAGAGTCTTTCTATCACAGTGGCAAAGCCTCATTCCAGAGCTCAAAATAAGATGCTGGGGACTGTGCGTTCCAGGTTGAGGCAGGAGGACTATAAGTTCAAGGCCGGTTTGAGGTACAAATTATGCTCAGAGCCAGCCCAAATGTAGCAAATAATAAAAAAAAAAAAAAATTGGTATGGTCTGTTTTATCTGGAGGAAAATCTTACTGTTGGCCATATGCTTGAGGAGGATTTCAAGGCTCTCTCAGAAACAGTAAATCAATTTAGACTTTTATTTCATTGGCCACTAAAGAAACAGCCGATAGCGGTCACCTCTTTAACAACAAAAAATGAACTTTGTGAGCCCACTGTGAGCAAAACATTAAAGGGATACAAAATGACTTATTTATTTCTGGTTACAATTCCAGTTCTCTACAGTATCCAACTACTCAAGCTGCAAAGATGGAATATGGGCAAAGGCCATCCTGCCCTGAATTCCTGGTGTGCAGTCACCTGGCTCAGGAAGCGCTTGTTTGTAGTTTTGAAGTTCTTCAGCCAGGTAGAAGCCTCCAGGGGCTGATCAAAGCGCTGTTTGTTGTAGGTGGACTGCAGAAGCTCCTGGCAGTTTTTCACCCAAAGATGAGCTAAAAGTGCAAAAGAAAACAAATTAGGAATTGACTGTAGTAATTTGAAATACTGTATGCTTTTTTTGCAAAAACTAACTAACTAACTAACTAACTAACTAACTAACTAACTAACTAAAATTGTTTTCTTTCATTTTGTATTATGGATGTTTTGAATGCAGAGGTCAGAGTCCCTGGCATCAGAGTTAAAGATGCCAGGAGCTGCTGTGTGGGTGCTCTTAACTGTTGTTTCATCTCTCCAGTCCCATGAATTACTCTTTAAATTATGAGAAACATATTAAAAAATAAATGAACATATTTTCTTGTGTGTGGTGGTACTGGGGACTGATCAAGTTCATGATCTTAGACCGAACATTGCATTATAATCAGTATAGAAGACATCGAGTGGACTGTCGTTTCTGCTCACCGCTAATTTTCATTATTTTTAATTTTATTTTTTCCAGACAGGGTTTCCTTTGTGTAGCACTATCAGGAAGTCTTTGAACTCACTCTGTAGACCGGGCTGGTCTCAAACTCACACAGATCTGCCTACCTCTTCTGGGATTAAAGGCATGCACCACCACCCAGTTTACTGTCAGTTTTTAAAGGCAAATTAAAAAAGGTGGACATACACAACTCTGAACAAAAGAAGATGCATGCAAAGTGTGAGGATGCAAACCCACACTGAAGAACTCAACCCTCAAGTGCCAAGGAGCTGGAACAGAGACTCTGGACACTCAAAACACCCATTGACAGCACAAGAAGTCTGCAGTCACCCCCTTCGAATCTGAGGCAGGAGGGGGTTTGCTTAGCTTAAGGATTTAGAGTTAGTGTGGGCTCTACAGCATGGTCACATGGTCATGAACTAAGCATAGTCTAAGTCACAATGCTGCCTGACACTGGAGACAGACAGGAAGGTCTTACCATCTGGGATATGCAGAATCAGCCAGTCATGTTTTGCACAGAAATGAACAGCATGGCAAAGACTGAGAGTTTTTCCCGTTCCCTTCTCCCCATCTAACGTATGTGTTAAAGAAAACATCATCATAAGCAACATGCTTCCCATCAACAGCATTTCATAGCCAGGTGTGGTGGAACAAGTCTTTAATCACAGCACTCAGCAGAGAGAGGCAGGCAGATCAGTGTGACCGTGAGGCCAGCCACTGCTACAGAGTAAGACCTGTCTCAACACACCCAAAACCCAAACAACCAGCATTTCCTTTTCTCAAATGAGGGGAGAATGCATGGGCTGAGTAGTCCCAGGCACGTGGGAAAGGATACAGAGAAGATAGCGCACAGCTGGGTGAGAAAAATTGGTATTTTTCAGGTAGCCCAGAAGCTCCAGAGCTGGCTTCCTTACCATCAGACAGGCTTCGCCGAAAGTCTTCACCTAAAGCAAACAGGAGGAGAAGAAGGTGGGCATGGGACTTCTAGCTATTCTAACTATGATCATACTGAAGCTGACACAGTAAACCAGAGCTCCAAACTCATCTGTATTCAGCTATGGGAGACTGGGTTGGTGTTGAATTTAAAAATGGATCCATTTCAGGAAAATCTGAGGTACATTGTTTCATATCAAGTAACATAAATAGATAGCTTTTGATGTTTCTTTTTTAAAAAAAGATTTGTTTAATTTATGTACTTTATGTATATGAATGTTCTATTTACATGAATGACAGAAGAGGGCATCAGATCTCATTACGGATGGTTGTGAGCCACCATATTGTTTCTGGGAATTAAACTCAGGACCTCTGGAAGAGCAGCAAGCCAGTGCTCTTAACCTCTGAGCCGTCGTTCCAGCCCAACGCTTCTTTATATGTATTTAAGGTTGTGATGGTGGGGATGAAATCCAGAGCTTTGAGCAACCAGGCAAATTAATGCAAGTCCTCTGCTGCTAAGCTGGACCCCCAGGTCTAGTGCTGTCACTTTTATAATGACCTCTCCCTCCCCAAAACCAAATGATGGTGTAGGACCCGATAAGCCCAAACTCAACAGTGCAAATGAAATAACGATAAATGGAGCAGAAATGTCTTATCAGGCAACATGACAGACAAAAATTGACAGTGGGAGAAGGCTTTTGTGTAAATGGGATTCTGGAGAGGAACTGCATGACTGTCATGGCTTGGGTCTGAATTGTCTCCCCCAACTCATGTGTCTCAGGACAGCTCCCGTTCAACACCCAGAGGTGGGACTGTGGGAATCGCTAGCTCTCAAGGGCTTTGACTTTCTTCTAAGGACCAACGATAGGTTCATAATCTGAGCATTATTGGAAGATGGGGCCTAATTAGGAAAGCAGGTGCACTGAGGGCATGTCATAAAAGGGTGTATCTTGCCCCCAGCCAACTCCTCTTGGTTTTTCTCTCTTTGCTGCCTCACTACCAAGAGGTGGGTAATTTGTCTGCTTTGATGCCATATGTCACTATAGCCCAGAGCAATGGTGTCAACTAATCATGCACTAAAAACATTGAAGTTACAGACATAAAAATTGCTTTTCTCAGGGATTTTTTTGCCACGGGGATGCAAAGATGATTAACACTGAGTCTCTTCACAACAGGAGTGGCAAGCCACTTGTGTTGGTTAAATATATTCTCTCAAAACCTGGAAGGTAAAGAGTGAACTTGAACATACTATAACTTGAAAGAATTTCTTTGGATGGGTCCTATTTCTTATTTCTTTCCTTTTTTTTTTTTTTTTTTTTGGTTTTTCGAATCAGGGGACAGGAATTCTCTGTATTGCTTTGGAGCCTGGAAGAGCCCTCTGTACAAGCATGGGAAGCAGAATTTAAGCCCCAATACCCACAAAACCTATCTGGGCATGGTAGTATACTTGTAGTCCCAGCTCAACAGCAGAGGAGAGCTGGACACCTGGAGCTCTGTCACCAGCTAGTGACCTAAATAGGAGCCCCAGGTCCCAGTCAGACCTTGTCTCAGGAAAAAAAAAGGCTGGGGTGGGTGGAGAGACAGTAGTGTTTAGGAGTACTGGATGTTCTTCAGAGGGTCCAGACTTAGTTCCTAGCCCCAAAACAGCTGCTCACAATTGTCTGTAATTCCAGTTAGGGGATCCTAGCTTCTCTGGCACTGCATGCATGTGGTACACAGACATAGGTGTGGGCAAAACACACATACACAATTAAAAAAAAAAAGGTCACTACAACAACATGCATGTGTCCTGAGGAAGGACACTTCAGTCTGACCTCTGGCTTCTACACACATGTACATGTGTGTACCTGCACATACAACACACACACATTTTTTCTCTTTTTTAATATAACACCAGATCTCATGTAGACATGCAGTCCAAATTGACCCCAACCTTGAAGCAATTTTTTTACTGATTCTCAAGGGCTGGGATTACAGTTATGTGCCAACAAACCTACCTTAAATTCACTTAAAATAATTATCTGAATGCCAAGATTTCTAGAAACTTGCTTGGTAATTCAAGGAAAAGGATATTATTCATAAAAGAATACTTAACCAGTGCTAAAGTGTATTTAAATGGCTAACAACAAGTAAACACTAGTAACATAGTATTCACGAGTCCATAGCTGAATTTCTGTTTTTCCAGAAATGTCGAACTTTCTATGCCTCTCATTTAACCTTTTCTCTGACAACTGCACTGTACTTTGGGCTTCCCTGTGCTGTTCCGTTTGAGCACCTGCCTGCATCATGTATCGAGGAGGCAGGCCATGAGGAAATACTGTCTTCAGATCCTGCAGGGGGATGCTGTAGTACTTGCCCTCATGTTGCTCCCCATGCTTAGCCTGGAAACACAAACAGAGATAAGAGGTCATGAAGTGATACAGGCTTTGAAAAGAAGCTAGGCTGGGTATGATATACCACCTATTATTCCAGCGCTCCAAGGCTGAAGCAGATTTATCTTGAATTCCAGGCCAGCCCAGACTATAGAGACCCTACCTCAAAACAAACAAACAAAACAAACCCACCAGCACATAGAACAGATACTTCCTGCCAGGCCACAGCAGGGCAAACAGCAACAACTTGGAGCAAGGAAAGTACTTCTTTTTGAGACATAGTCTTGCTATGTAGCTCAGCTGGCCTTGAACTTTTTTCTATCTTCCTGCTGTAGCTTCCTGATTGCTGAGATTACATATGTGTTCCACCAGGCCTGTCTTCATTTAAAACACTGGTTGTTGAGATAGCAAGATGGTTCAGTGGGTAAATATACTTGATGCCAAGCTTGACAGCCTGAGTTCAAAACATAGGAGGACTCTCATGGTGGACGGAGATCAATTCCCAAAAAGTTGTTCTTTGATTCCATATAAAATCCACCCCATAACAAATAGGTCCAATAAAGTGTTGGCATCAACAAATCCCTTTGGTGGCCTGACTAATAAATGTTAGCTGTTTAGCAATAAACTGTGGATGGGACAGACATAATTTTTGCCACCTGGATTTTTTTATGCTATGAAGAGATGCTTCAGTCATGTGGCAAGATCATCTGCAAGATGCTGTTTCCATAGAAACCCTAGAGGACTTGAAAGACACTTTAGCTACTTCATTAATTTATTCTATTTCACTTTGTATTCGTGAGGATAGATGAATGCTAACTAAAAATTTTAAACATACCCCAATGAATTAACGATTTGGTAGAGATATCTTTTTAAATTTCAACATAGCCATATTAGGATGGGAAGAATCAGATTAGGGCAACCTCTCCCCCACCCTCCACCAAAAGCTGATGGCTTCCTTTACATTAAAGAAAGCATAGCCCACACATATGGTTTCATTTATGAGACATAGCACCAACACTGGGCATGGAGGAGAAGGGTCAGTACCCAGTCTGTCACAGTTTAAACCTGAATGAGGAACACTTCTGTTGATAGACACCAGGAAAAGGAAAAATGTGTCACTCCACTGGCTAATGGATCTAGCCAAGGGCTATCCCACTGGGCTTATCCTTCCCCAAGCCTGGGTACCCCGCATTTAAGGCAAGTATTACTGGAACACAAACACATACCTGCTTGATTCCTGCAGGGCTAAGGAACTGTGTAGAGCACTCTCCACCCACACATCTAACGCATAACACCAACTGGTCACTTAAGACCAAGAGATGAATAACCAGTACCAAAATTATTTCAGGAGGAATTCTTTTTTGTTTTGAGACAGATTCTTTCTACATAGTTCTGGCTGTCCTGGAACCCAGTCTGTTTCTGCTGGGATTAAAGGCGTGCACCACCACGCCAATCCTAATTCAGCCAAATTTTAATTCAGCTAGATTCTTGGCACTAAGTGAATTCATTATTAAGATCACGTTAGAAGGGATTTGGATTAACTCTGTATTTTTTTGTTTGTTTGGTTTTTTTTTGAGACAGGGTTTCTCTATGGTTTTGGAGGCTGTCCTGGAACTAGCTCTACAGAGCTAGGCTGGCCTCAAACTCACAGAGATCTGCCTGCCTCTGCCTCCTGAGTGCTGGGAGTAAAGGAGTGTGCCACCACCATCCAGCCTAACTGTACTTTATATTTCCATAGCACCACAGGGCAAAGGGAAGACCTGTGTTTGAGCACTAGCCCAGGTGTCTCATTTATCTGAGCATATGGAAACCAATTTCCTGATTTGGAAAAGGAATATATGGCAATACATGTTATAACTTCTGAAAGCCCACCCACACAACAACTTACTGGGTCATTGTCACTGGTGCGGGAAATAAATCTCGGATGCTCAGCTGGAACTGGATTGCTCTGAGCTGCCTGGGCACTCCCATGCAAAAAACACCTTGGGTCCAACTACAAAAGAAATCCTTTTTTAGTGTTCTGGAGTCATCAGTTTTTAAATGCTTGCTGTAACAATGAAGATTTAAGTGATGTCTCTAAATATGACACTAAAATATATTTAAATTCTATATAAAATGGATCCTAATAATTCACTAAATCCAGCTATATTATTTATCCTCTGAATCTGTTTCAGCACATATATTGCTAGGCTAGCACTCTGTCCTACATGGAAACAAGTAATTCTGTCCTATTGTTCTAGGAGTACAGTGTAGCTACTGATAAGCTGAAGTAACTTTTTTTTTTTTTGAGATGGGGTCTCATTGTAGAGGCCTTGCTGGCCTCTAGCTTATCATACTCTTGTCTCAGCTTCTCAAGTCCTGAGATTAACAGCTGAGTTGTCTCTCCCAGCCACACTTTTTTTTTTTTTTTTCCAGCTGGGGTCTTGCTATTGGCCTTGAGTTCTGCCTCAGTGATTCTCCAATGTCAGCATTCTGTAAAGCTGGGAACACAGGGCAGGTGTACACATGTGCTCAGCTCAGTTTAACTACTGCCATTGTGAGCATGCTTCCCACTATTGTGCCTTTCTGCAGCACAGGGACCGCAGCTTCCCTCCACCATAAGGGTTAATGGAATGTGCTTCAGTGTAGATGGTCATAAACTGTCCCCCTAAAATGGTTCTTTCTTGCTCACAGGATGTGTCTGCCTCAGCCTTCTGAATGCTGGGATTAAATTACACCCTGTATAATTAATCCTCCCCCTTTCCTTTCTTTCTGACAGGGTCTGACTATGTGTGGCCTTCAACTATAAAGATCTGGTTGCCTCTGCCTTACGAGTGCTGAGATTAAAGGTGTGCACCATACGTGGCCTGTAAAGACAACCTTGCAAGCTATGACCTGAAAAATAAGACTCTCTCATTAGTGACAAGAATTGAGGGAACATGTGAAGTGTCCAGCTGAGTGAAAAACTAGTGAACTGCACTCAGAAATGTACGAAATGGAGCTGAGAGACACAGATGGGATTTTAGGAGATAAAATATGAGAAAATACCATGGAAAATTTTCAAATTAGCAGGGGATGCATGTCTACAATACCAGCATTCAGTAAGACCAGCTTGGGCTATAGGAGATGCTTCCTAAAGAAAAAAAAAGAAAGAAAAGAAAAGAAAAAAACGAAGCCAGGTGGTGGTAGTGCATGGCTTTAATTTCAGCACTCGGGAGGCAGAGACAGGTGGATCTCAGTGAGTTTGAGGCCAGCTTGGTCTACACGGGGAGTTCCAGGATGGCCTCCAAAGCCACAGAGAAAACCAGTCACACACACACACACACACACACACACACACACACACACACACAAATATTTTTACACACACACACACACACACACACACACACACACACACTCACACACTCACACACAATTGAGCTTAATGACAGTAAGCCTTACATAGTTGTGAAATGATTCCAGTTACAATAAGATTAGGATATGAATTCTAGAGGAAGAGGGAATTTGACTGCAGTGTGGGAGCTAGCTGGTTAAGTCAACAGAGACTTCCAGAGTGACATGACAGATGTGAGCTGAGAGCTGAAAGCATCGGAAGAACTGACTGTCTCGATTTCCACAAGTACACCCCTTCACATACATCATACACAGTAATAATAAGTACTGCTTTTAAAAAGTCGAAAACTGCCAGGTGGTGGTGGCGCAGTCCTATAATACCAGCACTCGGGAATCAGAGCAGGTGGATCAATGTAAGTTTCAGGACAGCCAGGACACAGAGAAACCCTATCTCGATAAAACCTAAACCAAACAACAGCAGACTAGGGAGCTGTGGACTTGGCTCAGTGGTTGAGAGCACTGGCTGTTCTTCCAGAGGACCTGGTTTATTCACAGCACCCACATGGCAGCTCATAGTGGCCTGTAACTCCAGTTTCAGGTGACCTACAACCTCTTCTGGCTTCCAAAGGCACTGGGAATGCACATGGTACACAGATACACATGCAGACAATACACAGACACAGAAGTAAAATAGCTAAAAATATTCCAGTGCCACAAGGGGGTGCCATTTCCACAGCACTCTGACTGTTTAGCTAGATTTTTTCCCTTCAGTATATAAAAAGCTAACAAAATGGACTCCGTATGTCTTAAAGTCTTATAAAAGTCTCACTTCTAGGAAAGCAACCCTTACATACATACAATTCCATCTGCTTAGTTCCAGAATGAGCACTATGGAGTTCCCCAACCACTAGTGATCCAAACCAGGTCATCCCGAGCCAAACTAAAACATACTCAGTCAAATTTTTCTTTCATTTTTATGCACATGGGTGTTTTGTCTGCATACATGTCTGTGCACTATGAGTGTCCAATGTGCCTTCAGAGGCCGGGAGAAGAGGGATCACCTGGAATTGGAGTTACAGATGGTTGTGAGCCACCAAGTCAGTGCTAGTGATCAAATAAGCATCCTCAGCCAGTGCTCTTACCACCGAGCTAACTCTTCAACAACCCCCCAACCCCCTTTTTTGAGACCAAGTCTCACTATATAACTCTGGCTGAGCTGGAACTCACTGTGTAAACCATACTGACCTTGGATTCAGAGGTTTCCTGTCTCTGCCCTCTGCCTGCTGAGATGAAACGCATGTACCACCATGTTTGGCCCTTATTTTTCTTTCGTGTCTATCAGTATTTTGCCTTTCTGCATGTGTGTTAAGTCTGTGTGTATGTGCTTTATGCTCAAGGAGGCCATAAGAGGGCATTGGATCCTCTGGAACTGAAGCTGCAGGTGGTTAGGAGCCTCATGTGGGTGCTAGAAATCAAACTCAGGTCTTGCAAGAGCAGCAAGAGCTCTTAACTACCAAGCCAACGTTCTTGCTCCAAATTTGCTTTTATTTCTCCTGTAATTTTTTTTTGTTTGTTTTGTTTTGACTCTCTACAGGAAAAAGAAGAGAAAAACAACAAACACCTCCTCCCAACCCAAAACTGTACCAGGGGCTTTTCTAAGAAGTCTTACAAACACATGTTTTGTCGAAAGTGACCCTTTCTTCAGTTCTCATCCTCAAGACTTAATTCTGTGAGGATTTCTGGTTCTCAACTAACCCAGGCTGAGTGATCCTCATAGGTGCTGCCAAAGTACCAAAGTCATGTAGTCATTTATTCATGACTACTAAACTGTGTGCTTCTGGAGAACATGCCATATGTACATTGGAATATTGTTTACATTGTAAAGTGTGTCTCTGCCTAAGTCGACTTCTGATTGGTTTAATAAAGAGCTAAATGGCCAGTAGTAGCTAAGCAGGAGAGAAAGGGCAGGACTCCTGGGCAAAGAGAGAAACAGGGAGGAGGGGTCTAGGCACCCGATTTCACCATCAGAGCAAGTCAGATGTGCCATACTAAGAAGAGGTAGCTGAGCCACGTGGCAGACTATAGATTAATGTAAATGGGTTCATTAAGTTATAAGACCTAGTTGGGAAAAGGCTAAGCTAAGGCCAAGCTTTCATAACTAATAGTAAGTTTTTTGGTCATTATTGCAGGCTGGCGGTCCAAAACTAGTACAAGAAAGCTTGCTACTGTTATGTTATAGGCTTTGAAATCCACCAACTAGCATCTATATAATGCTTTACTGTTTCATGGCCTGTTTTCTTAATACTTAGCCATTCTAATCCACACTTTCTGCAACTTTAAAACAAGGATATTATATTGTTAAGATGATCAAGAGAAATAAAGCATGTTGTGTGTGTGTGGGGGGGGTGCATACCTTTGGTCCCAGCATTTGGGAGACAAAGGCAGATGGAATCTTGTGAGTTCCAGGACAGCTGAGGCTACACAGTGAGATCCTGTTTAAAATAACAAATATAAACAAACAAATAAAAACCCACAAAAATATTTGGTAAATAGCTAAAAAGAATAAAACAAACCCGTAAGATAGCACCTTTCCCCTTTGAGGCAGGGTTTCTCTATGTAGCTCTGGCCAGCGTTGATCCTTCTGTCTTAATCTCCCAAGTGCTCCTCCTCCTCCTCCTCCTCCTCTTCTTCTTTTTTTTTTTTTTTTTAAAGATTTATTTATTATGTATACAGTGTTCTGTCTGCATGTATGCCTGCAGGCCAGAAGAGGGCACCAGATCTCATTACAGATGGTTGTGAGCCATCATGTGGTTGCTGGGAATTGAACTCAGGACCTCTGGAAGACCAGCTAATGTTAACCATTGAGCCATCTCTCCTGCCCCTCTCAAGCACTTCTATAGGCCTGTGCCACCATGCCCAATTTAGGATGGTTTACTTTTGTTTGTATGTGTCTGCCTCAGTGTATGTGCTTGTGCGGGTGCGGGTGTGGGTGCGGGTGTGGGTGTGGGGGAAGGTGGAGGCCAGAAAAAAATGGCTAGATTCCCCTTAGACTTGGAGTTCCAAGTGTTTGTGGGAGACCCAACTTGTTCTACAGATGCAGGGTGTCCAGACTCTGGTCCCTAACTTATGAGTTGTCTCTCGTCCCTTGTCTTTTTTGGAGGGTAGGATAAGGAAGGTGGGCAGGGGCTAGACATTGAGTTTCTGATCCTCCTGCCTCTACCTCCCAAGTTTGGGCTGCTGATTTCTGCTGTGCTGCCATGTTCAGTTTATGTGGTACTAGAAACTGAACCCAACACTTCCTAAATGAGTGACAAGTGCTTTCCTGAGCTATACCCCCAGCCCAAATGTAGGTCTTATCTTGTCCTTCCTTCCTGTATATGTCGTGTAGGCATGTATGGTGGTGAGGTGGTTGACTTCAGGTGTTTTCCTTGATTGCTCTCTAGTATATACCTACCTACCTACCTACTTTTGAGGCAGGGTCTCTCAGTGAATCTGGAACCTACTTATTTGGCTAGGCCAGCCGGCCAGTTCACTACAGGGATCTACCTATGTCCACCCTGCCAGTTCTGGGTTACATACACACCCCAGCTTTTGCCTGCATGCTGCACTCGCAGCCTCACACTTACCTGGTTTTACCACTTTACAAAGTTATCTACACACCCTCCTGAGACAGCCTTTTTAATATATGAGTTTATCGTATTATCAAAAGTGCCAATGTCTAAAAGCCAACTTTCTTTTCTTTTAAATAGTTCAGATTTACCAAGTTTTTTTGTTTGCCTTTTTTTCTTTCTTTTTTTCGAGACAGGGTTTCTCTGTGTAGCTTTGGAGCCTATCCTGGCACTCGAACTCACAGAGATCCGCCTGGCTCTGCCTCCCGAGTGCTGGGATTAAAGGCGTGCGCCACCAATTTTTTTTAAAGTGCTAATTATCTTATTGAATGTTATCTCAAGCACACTATTTTTGTCTATTGTTTAGGCAGTCTTCCTTGAACAGCCAGGCTGGCCTTGAAATCCCAATCTTCTTGCCTTAGCTCTCCATTACTGAATTACAGGCATACCTACCTTCAAGCCAGCCATGCCACTGAGAATTTTACCTGAAAGTGAAGCATATGAACAGTCTGTTGGAACCTACCTTTTGCACCCTGGAGGAAAGCCTTGTTACTCCCGTCAGCATTGTCTATGCTCTCTTTATATGTATATATATATAAAAAAAAAGACAAAGAGAAAAAAAAAGGTATAAGCCACTATTGAAAAAAAAGTATTTGCAATATAAAAATCTGACACTATCTAGATATATGAAAACCATCTATGAATCAACAAACTAGGCCAAAGACAAGAAAAAGTATTTCATTCAGGAAACACTATGGTGAGTAACTTCAGTACAAGTCATGAGAATGAAATTAAATCCTTGATAATGAGGTGCCAATCATAAGTACCATCTTAAGGAAAATGAAAAAGTCCCATAACAGTTGTTAGATCCAAATGTACAGGAAAACCAATTTTTACAGAGTTGAAGATTCTAGTACCCAGCTAGTGTATCCCTTCATATTTACTCTAGAAAACTACTTATGAATATACACTGGAAAGAATATAAGAATGTTTATAGTAGAGGAGTCTGAATTATTTGAAAAAAAAAACTAAACTAAAATGTCCTCTGATACAAGAATAAAAAGTCAGAGAACAGTCATAGAAATGGCAAGAAAGAAACTACAATATACGGATCAACTTCAAAAATAAATACTGGCCAGTCATGGTGGTGCACACCTTTAATTCTAATACTGGAGGAGACACTTTATCTCTCTGAGTTCAAGGTCACTCTGGCCTACAAAGTGAGAGTTACAAGCCAACCAGGGCTAGAGAGACCCTGTTTAAAACAAACAAACATACAAACAAACATTAATACCGAGTGAAAAATCATTATATTTAGGTTTAGACAAACTAAATGTCAAAAGCATGCAGTAGGTAGAGGCAGGATCAAAATGTCAAGGCCAGATTCATGCTACATAGTTTAAGGCCAGACTGGGACAGATAAAACCCTGCCTGAAAACAAAACAAAGCACACAGCAATCTCTCAAGTTATACTCACTATTTGCAAGACACACACTCAAGAAAACAGATCTAGAAAGGTGAATGGATGCTAAGAATAACATCCTGAATAAGGGAGAAAAGAAAGGGAACTAATGGGGGAAGACACCCTGGAAATTGGTAATCACTAATTCCTAATACTAGATAATGGATATGTGAGTATATATTTTATAATATTGGCTTTTTTTTTTTCTTTCTTTTTTTTGAGACAGGGCCCTACTATATAGCCCTATGTAGACCACGTTGATCTTGAACTTGTACAGATCCTCCAAACTCCGTCTCCTGAGTTTTGGGATTACTGCTGAGAGCCATCACACCCACAGGGTCTTACTCTTCTGTTGGTGTGATAAAATGCCCAGACAGAAGCATCTTACAGACAGGGTTTATCCCATCCAGAGACATATGACCCATGGGGGGGGGTACTGAGGTGGGGACATAGCACAACAGACAGAGGCACAGTGGCAGAGACAGGAAGCCTGGTCACACTGCACCTATACTCAGGGCCCATCCTTCAACAATCCACTTCCCCCAATCGATGCTCCACACCCTTCCCAAACAGTACCACCAATTGAGAACCAGGCTTTCAGACAAGTGAGCCTGTGTGGGACATTCACATTCAGACCACACAACATTATTTGATACCATGGGTTTTTTTTTTTTATTTTTATGTAATGTGCTAAATTTACCTTTTTGGATGTTGGAAATATTTAATTAGAAAATTGTACTCTTTTGGTGGCAAAAGAAATTTAAAATAAATTATTTCCTCAAGAGCTCATCAGAGCAGGGTATAGTAGCTCATGCTTGTAATTTTAGCTCTTGGGATGCTGAAGCTGAAGAACTCCTTAGACTTGGACAAGCCTGGACTAAATAGTGATTTCTAGGAGGGTTTGAATTATAAAATAAGACTGTACCCACTCAGCCCAACAAACAAACAAAAAAGACCTGATACCCAGTGTTAGTCTGAAACTATGAAGATACCAAATGAACACTATTCTTTCAGTATACATATTCCCACCACAAAGTTCAATGAATAATTGAAGGCATTTTATTAAATGCCTTATTTACATAAATAAAACTATAATAAATAAGCTACATAAATGTGGTTCACCCCCGCCCTTTCCAGATGGGGTGTTACTATGTAGTTTAGGCTGGCTGGTGTTTAATTCATGGTTCTCCTGCCTCTGAGCACTTGCATTCAGGCTGGTCTCTCAAAATATCTCAGTTTACCTTCATCTTTTTATTTAAATGAAACACTTTATACCATCTCTTTGAAATATCTTAATTCCCAGCATTATTACTCTTTTTAAATTAAAAAATACATAATTTTTTTCTGGATACAGGGTCTCTCTCTATAGATCTGGTTGTCCTCAAAACACAGAGCTCCACCTGCCTCTGCCTCCCAGTGCTGGGATTAAAGCTGTGTACTGTCATTCCAGACTCTAGCATCATTACTCTTAAGCTCTGGATATTAAATAAATTAAGGGCTACTTGACACACTGTATTGCTGCCACAGTTCTTCTGATACCATAAATGACTCCTAGCTGGTAGCATAGTAGTGTGAAGATGCTAGAAGAGATGGTTCAGATCCAGGTACGATTGAGTGGTACAACACACAATTTCATCAAGTTGATTGGAACAGCATTCAAATTTGCAGACTGTTCATTTCTACAATTTTGGACCATGGTTGACTTTGAATTTATTTTAAAATTTATTTTCTTTTTTTATGTCTATGAATGCTTTGCCTGCATGTATGCATATTACCATATTGTACCTGACACTAACAGAACAGAAGACAGCACTAGATCTCTTGAAATTGGAGTTATAGATGGTTGTGAGCCACACAGGAGTACTGGAAACTGAACCAGGTCCTCTGCAAGAGCAACAAGTGCTCTTACCTGCTAAATCATCTCCTTAGGCCCCATCGGTGACCCCATTGAAAAGCAAATTTTTGCACAGGTAGAGATTCCTGTACTTCAATGTAAACACCACTACCTAGCTCTGACAGAATAACTAAATAAAATCTCTTGGTAATTATTACTTTCCACCTGTGTTACAACACAAACTATTAAAGCAACAACAGTAACAAGAAAGCTGGACCAATTTCACTTGTTACTATGTGACAATACCAGTGACTACAAGGAATAAACAACTTTTCTGACCAGATAAAATTTCCAGTACAGTCAAGAGAGTCACAAACCATCCTAGAGATTGCTGCTACTGCAAAGCACTCAGGCTTGATGCTCAGTACCATCTGGTGGTTTACAACAGTCTAACTCCCGTTCCATGGGGTCAGGTGCCCCTTTCTGGACTCCATAGGTACAGGTCATACATGCAAAACATATGAATTCTTTTTAAAGAAAAGATTTATTTTCAGTTTATACCTATGAGTGTTTTACCTGCATGTCTGCAAGAGCACTGTATGTATGCCTGGTTCCCACAGTGAGCCGCCACATTGGGGCTGGTAACTGAACCCAGCCAGGTCTTCTAGAAAAGGAGCAAGTGCTCTTAAGAGCCCTCTTTCCAGCCCCAAATAAACACACTGTAAAAATATAGCCACAAACTCCTTTGAATCACATCCCCTTTTAGTTACCTTTTTAATAAGGAAACCAATTAATTCTTTAATTCAGTCATTCTAGAAACATGTGAAACTCTTCTATATGCAGTATACAGAGGTGAGCAAGGCTGGTGTGGTCTCTGTTGGGACCCGCCACCCCCTTCTTGAGACAGGGTTTTACTACATAACCTTAGCTGTTTTGAACTCATGATATGGACCAGACAAGTCTGAAACTCACAGAGATCCTTCTGCCTCTGTCACCTGAGTGCTGGAATTAAAGGCGTGCACCACTAGCTCTTGCTTCCCTTTCACCTCCAGGGCTCCAGGGCTTTTGCTATACATGAAAACTACAGACCTAAAGCACCATTTCCCCAGATGTTTGGCGAATATTAACTAGTCCTATAAAATTAACCAAAGGTCTATGGCCAAAGAAATTTGAGAAATAATGTAGTTGTTAACTTTTGATTAATTTAAAATATATATCAAAATTCTTGGGGAAAACTGTTATAAAGACCCTTCATTTTACTTCCTTCTTAATTATTTTGAGGCAGAGTCTCATATAGCTCAGGCTGGCCTCAAACTTGCTATGTAGCCAAGGATGGCCTCCACCTTCCAAGTACCAGATTAGCACCTTTGTGCCCCTATGCCTGCTAAGAGACTTCACTTTGAACTGCTACCCAAACTTATTTAGCCTTGGAATTCCTTTACTGCAAAGCAGCATTGATTCCACTGTTGTAGATTATAGAGGTGGCAGCTGCTACGGGGCAAGGCTGCAGATGAGAGTTTGGGTTGGAGCCCATGGAAAGCTCTTAGTCACAGGCTGGAGCAAAGTAATATCCACTCAGCTTGTTATCTGCTCTATTGAACTCTCCTGGTCTTAACAAAGTCTTCATTAAACTGGGTCATAGTGGCATACACCCTTAATGCTAGCACTTTGGAGACAGAGGCAGGTGGAGCTCTGTGAGTTCCAGGCCAGCCTGGGCTACATTGTGAGTTCCATGATACTCTTGTCTCAAAACAAAACAATAAAAAACCCCAAACAAACAAACAAAAACCAAAAACCAAAAAAGCCAAACCAGGGCTGGGGAGTAGTTCAGCTTGTACAGTGCTTCCCTTGACACAAAGCCCTGAATTCCATCTCATGCATCTCATAAATCGAGTGTAGTGGTGCCCACTGTAATCACAGCACCTAAGAGGTGGAGGCAAGGGATCAGAAGTCATTCTCTGCTATACAGTAAGTTCAAGGCCAGCCTACACTACTCCATAACCTGTCTCAAAACAAAACCAAAGAAACTTTAGATACTAGACTACATTTTGCTTTGGCTTTTTATCTTAGTAGTGTTAGAGATACCTCAGGGCCTTGTACATGTCAGATAAATGCTCTACTACTGAAAGACACTCCAGCTTGCTTGCTTGATTTACTTACATATTTATAGGCAGGTTCTCATATTGGGTCTAGTCTGATCCTTAACTTTCAGCAATCCTCCTGCCTCAGCCTCCCAAGTGCCGGGATTTTAAGTCTGAACTATTACACCTGGCTGTGGTGA